CATTCAACTCAAATTTGACATATGGATATGTTTTTGGAATGCCCAGGCCAAGTTCGAATTTGGTCATGGTTCAATGATTTTTGGCAGAGTAATGCCCCTTTCTCTTTGAAAATAATATGAAATTTACAGTTTCTGTTCATTATTTACCCAACAGTGTTACATATTCAACTTAAATTTGACATATGGATATGTCAAAGGAATTGGCAGGTCAAGTTGGAATTTAGTCATGGTTTGATGATTTTTGGCCCTTTCACTTTGAAAATAATGTAGATACATCTTAGGAATAAGCAGTTTAAGTTTGAATTTGGCTGGGTTCAATGATTTTAGACAAACTTATCTTTCCTGAATGTTGGAAAAATTTTGAACTTTCAGTTTCAGCGCTCATACTTTAAGCCATTATTTTGGCTACAAATATGCAATATGCTATTTTTAAAAGGTTAAGACTGAATAATTTCAGTGCCTTGAACATTGTATGAAAATGGTTTGTGTTAACATTGAAAAGTTTTAAGGGCTTTGAACTTAAAATGAAAAAAATAATTAATGCACCATCTGAAATTTTGGCTGCATGCGGGGCATCCGTGGCATGATGACACATTTTTAGTTTCATTAAAGAGTGCCAACGGAAGATATTTTAGGCAGCATTTTTTTAATTAACCTTTCTATGGCTACATAATTAATACGGAAAAAGTATTGATACCAAACCAGAGAAAGATTTGGATATCGATATGTTTAACTTTTACAAGTATGGATTTGAATGCATCAAATTCCAGTTAATTTATACCATAAAGATTCAATTTAAATCTTAATACAAAAAATAAAATTAAATTTTATGTGATATACATGCTAATATAATTATATTTGTTTTACATGGATTCTTATTTTACTTACATAAAAAAAATTACAAATACCCATGTTTATTTGCAATTGGTTAGATATTATTCCTTCACACAGTTATGTATGTTAAGTCACAATGGTATATAGACAGATAGATGGTATTTAACTTTAATTTTCTTTGAGACTGTATTTAGAGACTCCCTGTCATATGTGACCTTTTTTTGAAGATCTCTCGGAAAGTCGCATAATAATGACAGTCTTGACTGTATCACAATCTCTCAATTCTCTATCAATATTACAATCATTCAAAGTTATATTTTTGTATAAGTTTTCATAATAAGCACTAGTTTCTTTAAGTATATCCTTTTGATCATAAATAAAAGTTCCATCATCAAGTTCCAGAAAAGGTATTGTCTTAGCTGAACAATGTGATTTCTCTAAATTTAAAAAGTAATTAGAAGTTTTTTCTCCAGATTCAATCCATTGTGACCTTGACCTAATCATAGCACCCTTTATTTTATTGTTTCTTAATTCAGTCAATTCGTTTTGTAAATCATCTGTAGAAGTTTGTCTTTATTATCATTTGTCAAGTTTTGTTCTAGAAAAATAATTTCTTCAAATAATTTTTTTTCATATGTATCTTAAAAGAGCTATAAGAAATGGATTTACGTCTAATTTCCATTAAAAGTGTCTCTAAAAAAAGTTCATCATTAATAACAAAGTCTATATCTTTATTGTTTATATTCAAAACATAATCTATATTGTATACAGGTAAACAATATTGCAATTTTATTTCATCTATTTCCTTATTAATGATATCAAGGAATTCAATGTCATTTAAAAGAGAATTATTAAATTTCCATAAACCTTTTCCAGGAACAAAACAAAAATCCAAATATATCATTGAATGATCACATCTATAACTAGCATCAATGTCACATTTACGTACAAACTGATATAAATTCTTTGTTATAAGAAAAAAATCTCATCTACCTTGCTGTATTGGGTTTGTGCGTCTCCATGTATATTTTTAGCTCACCTGACCACGAAGTTGTTTTAATGATTTCTAGGCCAAGTTCCAAGATCGGTCATCTCCGGTCAAAAACTAGGTCACAGGAGCTAAAAATAGAAAAAGCTTGTTAACACTCTAGTGGCTGCAGTTTTGATCCAAATATTCTGGAAATTTGTCAGGAAGGTTGTTTTAATGATTTCAAGGTCAAGTTCGAAGATCGGTCATCTCCGGTCAAAAACTAGGTCACAGGAGCTAAAAATAGAAAAAGCTTGTTAACACTCTAGTGGCTGCAGTTTTGATCCAAATATTCTGGAAATTTGTCAGGAAGGTTGTTTTGATGTTTTTGATAGGTCAAGTTCGAAGATGGGTCATCACCGGTCAAAAACTAGGTCACAGGAGCTAAAAATAGAAAAAGCTTGTTAACACTTTACTGGCTGCAGTTTTGATCCAAATATTCTGGTAATTTGTCAGGAAGGTTGTTTTGATAATTTCTAGGTCCAGTTCAAAGATGGGTCATCTCCGGTCAAAAACTAAGTCACAGGAGCTAAAAATAGATAAAGCTTGTTAACACTCTAGTGGCTGCAGTTTTGATTCAAATATTCTGGAAATTTATCAGGAAGGTTGTTTTGATGAATTCTAGGTCAAGTTTGAAGATGGGCCATATCCGGTGTAAAACTAGGTCACAGGAGCTAAAAATAGAAAAAGCTTGTTAACACTCTAGTGGCTGCAGTTTTGATACAAATATTCTGGAAATTTGACAGGAAGGTTGTTTTGATGATTTCTAGGTCAAGTTCGAAGATGGATCATCTCCGGTTAAAAACTAGGTCACAGGAGCTAAAAATAGAAAAAGCTTGTTAACACTCTACTGGCTGCAGTTTTGATCCAAATATTCTGGAAATTTGTCAGGAAGGTTGTTTTGATGATTTCTAGGTCAAGTTTGAAGATGGGTCATCTCCGGTCAAAAACTAGGTCACAGGAGCTAAAAATAGAAAAAGCTTGTTAACACTCTACTGGCTGCAGTTTTGATCCAAATATTCTGGAAATTTGTCAGGAAGGTTGTTTTGATGATTTCTAGGTCAAGTTCGAAGATGGGTCATCTCTGGTCAAAAACTAGGTCACAGGAGCTAAAAATAGAAAAAGCTTGTTAACACTCTACTGGCTCCAGTTTTGATCCAAATAATCTGGAAATTTGTCAGAAAGGTTGTTTTGATGATTTCTAGGTCAAGTTCGAATATATTGGTCGTCTCCAGTCAAAAATTAGGTTGCATTGCCCAAATATGGAAAACCTTTTTAACACACTAGAGGTCACATTTTTGACTCAATTGCCATCAAACTTGGCCAGGATGCTTGTCTAAGACATTGCTTGGATGCGGTTGATGGGTCAGGGGAGCGATCCAGGGCCATCATGGTCCTCTTGTTGGATATTGAAATCCCATACATTTCAAAAATACTGTACTAAATTGAAAGCTTTACAAATCTATTAACAAGTTTAGCAGATTGAAGGTTCAATGATCCATTCATTATATACTGTCAAGATATGTTTATGATATAGACTTGGTTAAAGCACTAACTTAAGTTTATTACCCGTGTCATTTTAATTTTTTTTATGGAGGAAAATTATGACATCCAAACCTGTGGATCTTTGAAGTTCACTGCACAACTTGGGTTTGTTTGGTGACTATATTAATACCCTGTTAGATTTGTGTAATAGAGATGCTTTGTTATATTACATGCTTTTCGGTGGTTTATAGAAATATATCAGTGAAATATAAAACTGATAATTTCACTGTTTTAAACAGTGAAATTATCAATTTGGTAATTTAAGCCCCTGACATTGTAAGTGAAATATCAGCTTGCAGAGTACTGGAAACCAACTTAATGAGATGTGACATCATAAATGACGTCACATTGTATTATTATTTGGCATGCTTTTCATTAATTTTAGTATTAGGTTAAAATGTCTTTTTAAACGTTTCTTTGCATATAATAAAAAAGGATATTTGTTTAGTTTAGTCAGGGCTGCCGATTTTCCGCGGATTCGCGGAAATCCGCGGATTTCGTGAGCTCCTGGGTCATTTTTGTGATATTCGACAAAGACAATAAATTCATTCGTCATATTTTATACAGTACCCAAAAACCGGCACGCTTCGGCTTTTATCGTTACGCTAGCCGCCTATGGTACGTCTGTAAGCGCTTTTCTCATTGTTCAAATCGAGTCTTTTCCGGCATTCTATTTTAGAATAACCAATCAAATTACAGTTTACATTGTCGCTCTTGTCCGTTGTCAAAATGCGTCAAAATGTCCAAAATGTCGGATATTTGTTTTGAGGGCTGATGAAAACCCTGCCTGATCTAGATCAATACAAACAGGCAGTGGTTAAGATACAGTATTAGTTGACTTGTTGTGTTTTTACTTTTAAATCTTTCTTTCACCCTTACTAATAAAAATATTTTAACAATGACTAGAAGTTTTCAATGTCTCTCACTGTCCTGATCATGTTCATTTTCAGGTTTTTACTTTCTCTCACACCTTTTACTTACCCACCCGACGCGCACAATTTCCTGCCTATAACACTCGCGAGAGGGGTTGGCAGTACTCAGAGATAGAGATAGATAGATAGATAAAGTGTCTCTGAATGGCTTTAAAGGCAACCAAGGAAGTCAAATTTAGAGTCCAGGAAATTGATTTTAGGGCATACCAAATCATCAGAATCCAGGAGCTCTCGGGGCCCCCTTGACCCCCGGCGTATTTTCCGCTTATTTTGCAATTTGCTGTTGGCAGCCCTGTTTAGTGTAAGATCAAAATATATTTCACCTCGTGAACACCATAAGTTCATATTTTATTGTCGCTGCGCCACTCGTGAAATATACCTATTGGTACTTACTCTGTGAAAAATATTCAGATCTTACACTGAACTTAACAAATATCCTTTATATAATTTGTGAAAGTTTTATTGTATTTGTAATTTATGAAAGATCAATCAAAGGTTGAAAGGCAATGTGTATACACTTTGACCACAACACTGCTGCTTCCCTAATTATCATTACTATTGCCGCTTGCACAACATGTCTATATCTTAGTGAAAAACGTTTGACTTTGTAGGGAGGTAGATTGATAGCTTAGTTATAAAATGATCATTATTTTGTATTACAGGCGAACCTTGATCCGGCACGACGCCAGTTACTACAGGATCTACAACATCAGGTGTATTTACAACAACAGCATGCAAAAATGCAGATGCTCAATCAACAGGTAATTAATTATTGGGCGGAGTCACACTCTCACAGAATGGTCATATAACTATATTCCAGCTTTACTGTTGGAAGGATAAGGCGTCAGTGACCGAGAGGTTAAGATCATTGACTTCAAACTACTTGCCAATTACCGCTGTAGGTTTGTATCCTGCAAGGGGAGTAAAGTGAGGAAGCTTTCCAGTTAGCTTACAGAGTGTTGAGGGTTCTACTCATGTGCTTGATTGTGCCTGATTAATGCACAAAAGGGCACTTGAGTTCTTCTTCCACCAGTATAGCTGGAAAATTGCCAAAATAACCATTACAGTGTTGGTGTATGATTTAAATATATGTAAAAGACAGTCAAAAAATGGAAGTTTGACATGTCTGGAAATTCATATATTCATCAGATTAAGCATTAAAGACGGCTTATATAAAAATAAGTTATAATTTTAGGGCAGTGTCTATTCTTACCATGATTACCAATTTTAGTTTTCAGCAAATCTAGATGGTATAAAAATATTCACGCTTATTTTAAAAACTCATTTTTAACTTGCAAAATATTTGTAAGCCTTTGATCTAATGTATTGATAAACATACCTTCGGTAACACTTGATGTATATGAATAAAAAGAATTATGGATATGGTTTAATGTTGACTTGTAAATAACGAGGGTTGACTGCAAGACTGATGTAAGTCCTTTATGTAATATAAGTACTGCAGTTTTGCAGTCAACTCTCAAATTAAAGAAGACATGACCAAAAAACAATTGAAAAGACACTTTTAGATATTGTTTTTGAATAGCTATTTATATCAATGTTTTAATGAAATACTTTAGGGTCAGGGCCAGATGTCGGGGAACTCTACCCAATCTGCAGGGATATTTGGTGCCCAGCCCCAAGTTGGATCTCAATCCCAGCAGCCTTTCTCTCCGCTGGGAACCAGTGCCGAAATAAGGGGAAACAACCCCAACTCTCAGGGACATTTGCCATCAAACATTGAACGATTCTCACAATTTCATCCAAGCACAAATGGAATTTCACAAGTTCACCTTCAAAAGGACGACCATTGCCATCAGGGTTTGACCCTGGACGTTCCCAAGGTCAAATCCACGGTAACATTCCATTTCCATCAACATTGTCTCAGAGTTCTGAAGGTGATTCTAATTTATCGAAATCGCTGGATATGCGCATAATGTTAATGAGAAAGACATTACAGACGTACTGTTGCGGCCCGACCTGGCGTCGTCCATCGCAGAGGATTTGTTAAAACAATTTTCGCCGAGCAGTGAGCATTCTCATAGTGATATTCAATCTAGTCAGAGCAAAGTGTCAGCTGACTTGCGAACTGGTGAAAGTAGTTCTGTTGGTGTAGGGATACATTCCAGTTCATCTCAGGATTTTAATCTAAGTGTGCAGAGTATAGAAAAAATGCTGAAATTGGACAGTGAAGTCATTAAATGTGATACAGAATCGGCCAAATACGGCTCTCTCCCTAAATTAAATATACATATGTCTGGGGAACAGATTTTAAGGGCCTGTAAAGGACTTGGTAAGTTTGACTTCCTTTCTTTAGCCCCTGTTACTTATTTATATTTTTGATTTTGTAAAGGACTTGGTAAGTTTGACTTTCCATCTTTAGCCCCCTTACTTATTTATATTTTTGATTTTGATTATTCACTTTATGAAATATGTTTATTTGTGATATATATATATATATATATATTTCGATCAGGTTTTAGTTTTAAGTTTGTTTGAAATTTGACCACATATGCTAATTTCGCTGTGTTTTTTTTCTTTCACAAAACTGGTATAAATAGAGGGTTAATATACCTTTTATCTATATGAATAATTTCAAAATGCTATCAGTGTTTGTTTTTTGTTTTTTGTTTTTTTATAAAAGTTCATAATAACAAGGTACATGTACGTAGATAATGGTTTTTGAAAAAATTTAACACTATTGTTTAAATCAGTAGTACTAATCAATTGTTTGTGTTATTATTGATAATGGCATGTATATCAATTTTTTATCAGTATGAGGTACATATAGGATACCTCATGAGTTGCCATATGATATAAATTTTATACTATATGACAACATATGTTGCATTTTTTAAAGATACTCCACTCAGGTTTTTTTGACACGATAGGACTGGATACAATTTTTTTGAAATAAATGTTCTATTTGATGTAAGACTAGACCTAATACTTGTTTGCAAAATTTCAGATCCTTCACTCACTCCATTTTTCCTTAATAATTATTGTAATTGTGAAAAAATGGCACAAACTTGAAAAGTGTTGCAACACTTTTCACTTTAATCAGCTTAACTAATAAGAATAGCACAAAAATACAATTTTCAATTTATTTCTGGGTATATTTCTTAATTACGTTTTGCATATCTTTCTGTAAGAAATTCAAATTTTATGTTTTTAAGATTTTGAACCTCCGTGGAGCTCCTTTAACCGCATGACCATTTTTCTGATGAAATGTCTTAGCTAAAATGACCTCGCGATGTATATTTAATATTTAATGTATGTGTAATATAAAGAGATATGTAAGGGTCTATTACATGACAGAAAACAAGCTATGTCATGTAATGAAAAAATAAATGTTTGTATACAAAAATAACAGTGATTGTACTAATCAGTAATCTCGGTACATTTCTAATTTTCTCAAAGGTAAAACTGGTATAACTACAAGTATTCTGGGAGACAGACCGCCGCCACGCCCTCCAAGTCCACCCAGGCCACCACTCCCCAAAGATATACTCAATCCCCCAACACCTAGTGTATATGTAAGTATTATCTGAGAAATTTTAAGAAATGTTTTTTATGCTTTTTTATTTATATGCAAACTTTTCAAAATTTATGCATCACAGAAAAACTAAGACAATAATTTTGTCTTCAAATTTTGAAACTATATTTAAAAACTTAAAAATAAAAAAATTTAAACCTAGTTAAGAAAATGTCAGTACTACCACTGTTAATTGTGTTTAGTTATTATTAAAAAAGCACTAAGCTTAGAAGTGTAGAATTGATGCATAAAGTTACTGATGTCAATAAACTAAATTATATAATATATGACATCAATTAAATTGCTTCAGCAAAATTTAGATCCATTATGTACTTATTATACTGGAAAGTCTGAAATAGTACATCTTTACCCATGATCATACAATATTGTATATTGCGTGTATTCAGTAACTTTCCTATCACAAAGGCTTATGGCCATCATAAATTCATTTCTGCACATCTGAATTTTAACTTTGCATTTCCAAACGTCAAATGACTCAAAGTAAATAACCCATTTCCTAAACATTTGTGATATTATATTTATCTAGCTGGAATTTAAGAAGGACGCCTTCTCTCCAGAACTTCAGCAGTATTGTCAGTCCCAACCAGTGGTGGTCATCCGAGGTATGGCGGTAGCACTGAAACTGGGTAAGTTGGTCTGTCTTTTCCTCTAGACGAGTCTGATGTAGACTTCAAACAACTTGCCCCTAATGTCTGTTGGTTTTTTAATCCATTTAGGGACTTTGGATTCTTTAATGTGAGGAAGCTATCCAGTTAGATAAACATTTGTGGTTCTACTCATGTGCCCGTTGGTGTCTGAAATAAAGCATAAAAGGGCATGTGATGTCTTCCTTTACCACTTAAGCTGGAAAGTCGCCATATTATCTATACTGTGTTGGTGCAAAGTAATACCCAAACAAAACAATAAAAAACGGTTCTGACCTAATAAGCATAAAATTCGGTTTTTCCCAGATTGATATATCAAAATTCTCAAATTTGGCTGCAATTACAACCCTTATTTTCTTAAATTTACTCTATGCAATTTTTCAGTTTTAATTATATAAAATAAGTTTGGTCACTTAAAAATTCCTCATTTGGATGACAAAATAATTTCCGAGTTGTGTGGACATGGGCCAGTTCTAATTAAGGATGTAAACAACACTGTTTGCTGAATAACTTAAGATAGAATATAAGTTAGTGTAAAATGTCCAGGAGAGTGTAGGCAGATAACTCTGTTTCTCTTAAAAACCAAAATAATCAAGAGTTGTCTTTCTTATTCTGAATATGAATAAATTGATCGGAATTTAAAAAGGTTTCATTTAATTATTTGAAGAAGGTTGTTGTTTCTGTCAACCTTTGATAGGATGATTTTCCTTTTTCAAGCCTCATGTGCCATATTTGGGATCATAAGGTAGAAAAATGACTTTTAAATCAACTATAAATCTAAAAAAAAAATCATAAAAAAAACATGTTTTCTCAAACATAAGTAGAAACTGATTTTCAAGCAATTTAACTTATAGCCATAATTTATAGGGAAACCTTTGATGATAGTTTTGATACTTTGTGAAAGTTGGGGAAATTTTTTAATTTTAACTGTTAATGATTTTCCGCTTATCGATTGAACATTTATAGATATTTATAATATCCAATTTTAGTAACAAGGAAGTAATCGACATGTAGTTGGATTTTTAGCTCGACTATTCGCAGAATAACCGAGCTAATGCAGTCACCCATTTGTCGTCGTCGGCGTCCCTGTGGTTAAGTTTTTGCATGTAAGCTGGCTGGTATCTCCATAACTACTGAAGAGAATGGATTGAAACTTCACACACTTGTTCTCTGTGATTTTCTAAGATGATTGGCACAAGTCCCATAACTCTGATTTGCTTTTTTGTGTCGCCTTGAAAAGGTGACATAAAGGGGTTACTTTTGTCGGCGGCGTCGGCGTCGTTGTCGGCGTCCCCTAAAGCTTGTCCGGAGCATAACTCAGTCACTATAAGTCTGATTGACTTTAAACTTGGTATGCATGCTTCTTTCAATAACCCGAAGTGCAGTGCACAAGGACCAGTACTCTGAAGTTCTTATTTTTTGAGTTATTGCCCTTTGTTAATTTTCATACTTTAATTTTGTCCAGGCCATTTCTCTTCAACTAAAAAAGCTATGGACTTGAAACTTCATAGGATGATAGATCTCATTAAGAAGAAGTGCAGTGCACAAGAACCGGTACTCTGCACTTCCTAATTTTTTGAGTTATTGCCCTTTGTTAATTTTCATACTTTAATTTTGTCTGGGCCATTTCTCCTAATGTATAAAAGCCATGGACTTGAAACTTCATAGGATGATAGGACTAATTAAGAAGAAGTGCAGTGCACAAGAACAGGTACTCTGCATTTCTTATTTTTTGAGTTATTGCCCTTTGTTTATTTTCATACTTAATTTTTGTCCAGGCCATTTCTCCGAAAGTATAAAAGTTATGGACTTGAAACTTCATAGGATGATAGATCTCATTAAGAAAAAGCGCAGTGCATAAGAACTGATACTCTGCATTTCTTATTTTTTGAGTTATTGCCCTTTGTTGATTTTCTTACTTTATTTTTGTCCTGGTCATTTCTCCTCAAGTATGAAAGCTATGGACTTGAAACATCATAGAATGACAGATCTTATTGATAATAAGTGCAGTGCACTGAAACTGCTGCTCTGCACTTATTATTAGCTCACCTGTCACAAAGTGACAGGGTGAGCTTTTGTGATCGCTTTTCGTCCGGCATCCGTCCGTCCATCGTCCGTCCGTCCGTCCATAAACTTTTACTTTAAATGACATCTCCTCATAAACCACTAAGCCAATTTCATCCAAACTTCACAGGAATGTTCCTTTGGTGGTCACCTTTAAAAATTGTTCAAAGAATTTAATTCCATGCAGAACTCTGGTTGCCATGGCAACCGAAAGAAAAAACTTTAAATATCTTCTTTTAAAAAACCATAAGAGCTAGAGCTTAGATATTTAGCATGAAACATCTTCTAGTGAGTGTCTACCAAGTTTGTTCAAATAAAAGCCCTGGGGTCAAAATTGGCCCCGCCCCAGGGGGTCATTGATTTTCCCTATATGCATATAGTAAAAACTTAAAAATCTTCTTTTAAAGAACCCAAAAAGCTAGAGCTAAGATATTTAGCATGAAACATGTTCTAATGGGTGTCTACCAAGTTTGTTCAAATAAAAGCCCTGGGGTCAAAATTGGCCCCGCCCCGGGGGGTCATTGATTTTCCCTATATGCATATAGTAAAAACTTAAAAATCTTCTTTTAAAGAACTCAAAGAGCTATGGCTAAGATATTGAGCATCAAACATGTTCTAATAGGTGTCTACCAAGTTTGTTCAAATAAAAGCCCTGGGGTCAAAATTGGCCCCGCCCCAGGGGGTCATTGATTTTCCCTATATGCATATAGTAAAAACTTAAAAAATCTTCTTTTAAAGAACCCAAAGAGTTAGAGCTAAGATATTTAGCATGAAACATGTTCTAATAAGTGTCTACCAAGTTTGTTCAAATAAAAGCCCTGGGGTCAAAATTGGCCCTGTCCCGGAGGGTCATTGATTTTCCCTATATGCATAATTAGTAAAAACTTAAAAAATCTTCTTTTAAAGAACTCAAAGAGCTATGGCTAAGATATTTAGCATCAAACATGTTCTAATAGGTGTCTACAAAGTTTGTTCAAATAAAAGCCCTGGGGTCAAAATTGGCCCCACCCCGGGGATCATTGCTTTTCCTTATATGTGTAAAGCAAAAACTTGAAATCTTCTTTGAAAAAACCCAAATAGCTAGAGTTTAGATATTAAGCATGAAACATCTTCTAGTTAGTGTCTACAAAGTTTGTTCAAATAAAAGACCTGGGGTCAAACTGGCCCGGCTCCAGGGGTGTCATTGTTTTTAACTATATGTGTATAGTAAAAACTTAAAAAAAAATCTTCTTTTAAAAAGCCCAATGAGTTAGAGCTTAGATGTTTAGCATGAAATATCTTCTTATGGGTGTCTACCAAGTTTGTGCAAATAAAAGCCCTTGGGTTAAAATTGGCCCTGCAATGTTGGGGGGTGGGGGGCCTATATACAGGTGAGCGACCTCAGGGCCATCATGGCCCTCTTGTTCTAATTTTTAGAAATTGCGTCATTTTTTCTATTTTTAGAAATTGCATCATTGTTTCTATTTATAGAAATTGCGTCATTCTTGCTATTTTTAGAAATTGCGTCATTTTTTTCTATTTTTAGAAATTGCATCATTTTTTCTATTTTTAGAAATTGTGTCATTGTTGCTATTTTTAGAAATTGCGTCATTGTTTCTATTTATAGAAATTGCGTCATTGTTGCTATTTTTAGAAATTGCGTCATTGTAGCTATTTTTATGCCCCCCTTCGAAGAAGAGGGGGTATATTGTTTTGCTAATGTCAGTCTGTCTGTCGGTCTGTCGGTCTGTCCGTCGGTAGACCACATGGTTTCCGCTGATTATCTTGAAAAGTATTTATCACAAAGTCTTCATATTTCAGATAGTGATTGGTCATCACTAGTAGATGACCCCTATTGATTTTGGGGTCACTAGGTGAAAGGTCAAGGTCACTGGGGCCTTAAATGTCAAAATGGTTTCCGCTGATTATCTTGAAAAGTATGTATCACAAAGTCTTCATATTTCACATAGTGATTGGTCATAACTAGTAGATGACCCCTATTGATTTTTGGGTCACTAGGTCAAAGGTCACAGGGGCTTTAAATGTCAAAATGGTTTCCGCTGATTATCTTGAAAAGTATGTATCACAAAGTCTTCATATTTCACATAGTGATTAATCATCACTAGTAGATGACCCCTATTGATTTTGGGGTCACTAGGTCAAAGGTCAAGGTCACAGGGACCTTAAATGTCAAAATGGTTTTCACCGATTATCTTGAAAAGTATTTATCACAAAGTCTTCATATTTCACACAGTGATTGGTCATAACTATTAGATGACCCCTATTGATTTTGTCACTAGGTCAAAGGTCAAGGTCACAGGGGCTTTAAATGTCAAAATGGTTTCCGCTGATTATCTTGAAAAGTATGTATCACAAAGTCTTCATATTTCACATAGTGATTGGTAATCACTAGTAGATGACCCCTATTGATTTTGGGGTCACTAGGTCAAAGGTCAAGGTCACAGGGGCTTTAAATGTCAAAATGGTTTCCGCTGATTATCTTGAAAAGTATGTATCATAAAGTCTTCATATTTCACATAGTGATTGGTAATCACTAGTAGATGACCCCTATTGATTTTGGGGTCACTAGGTCAAAGGTCAAGGTCACAGGGGCCTTAAATGTCAAAAGGGGTTTCCGCTGATTATCTTGAAAAGTATTCATCACAAAGTCTTCATATTTCACCTAGTTATTGGTCATAAGAAGTAGATGACCTCTATTGATTTAGGGGTCATTAGGTCAAAGGTCAATGTCACATGGGCCTTGAATGTCAAAATGGTTTCCGTTGATTTTACCATAATTGAACACTTCCATGTACCCATTTTTGGCAAGTTTATGTAATAAAATTATCAATTATGTGAGTCAATGGCTAGAAAGGGGGGTATATGTGTCGTTCGACATTCTTGTTAGAAATTGCGTCATTTTTTCTATTTTTAGAAATTGCGTCATTGTTGCTATTTTTAGAAATTGCATTATTGTTGCTATTTTTAGAAATTGCGACATTGTTGCTATTTTTAGAAATTGCGTCATGTTGCTATTTTAAGAAATTGCGTCATGTTGCTATTTTAAGAAATTGCGTAATGTTGCTATTTTTAGAAATTTGCTTAATGTTTCTATTCATATATATATACAAAATATATAAACAAAACTTATGTGACAAGACAGACCAACTAAATTTATAAAAAGGAAACATTAAGATATGTTCAAACCTTTCTATGTTTGCGTTTAGAAAAAGTAAAAAGTCGAGCGTTGCCCCCGCCCGGCGGTGGCTCTTGTTATCGTTTATAACGAGATCGGTTTTAGCGAGATATCGGTTACAAGGTACATAATTTCGTCGTCCCATGCGTATTTTTCAGAATTTTAACGAGGTCACTACATTTGCACTTCGTCTGCATCAGTTTGTCAACTTGAGAAAAACAATGATGACCAATAAGGTCAAATAAGGCAGGCCTAGACATTAACTTTTGAATCAGGTTGTCCTTATGGGCAAGTAGTTTTTAATACTACTTGCCCTGACCTAAGACTTACTTGTCCTGACTTAAAAATGGTAAAAATGTATCAATCAGAAAAGACAAACAAGCTCATACATTAATTAATTATTACTTCTTGTATAAGGTCATGTTAACATAATGAACTAGACATATTGTTTATGAAATTGATTGTTAGTTACACACAAATATTTTTGTATTCAGTAGTTAATCTAAAACATCAGTTCATCAATCATCATCCAGGCTAATAACAACGGCTACGTTCATAATGTTGTTATATTAGATAAAACAATAAATCATTTTTAATGCAAAAACTTTATTTAACAATTATATTTAAAGATCAATACGATTATTTGCATATTTTCAATGATATCTTTGCATGCACGCATCAAAATTAAAATGACAGCATGACCCGGGAATTACCTTGTACAAAATTAAATATAGTCTATTATTAGAACTGGGAATAACCTTACCGCGGCGCATGCTCATATTTTTGCTTCCGTTTCCTATATCAACAAATGTACATGACAGTAGTGTATTCACATTATTAGTCCCCTACCGGTTTATTAGTCCCCTACCGGTTTACCGGAGGGGACTTTAGGTTTACCCTCCGTCCGTCTGTCCGTCCGTCAGTCAGTCCATCCGTCCACAAAACTGGATCCCGCGATAACACAAAAAGTACTGAAAATATTTTAATGAAACTTGGTATATGGTTAGATGGCAGTATGGAGATTATGCACGTCTTTTTCTTTTCTTCCTATGTTGAAAATTCTGGTTGCTATGGCAACAAATAGACTGAAAATATGGCAAATTTTACACATAACCTGGATCCCGCGATAACGCAAAAAGTACTGAAATTTTTTATGAAACTTGATATATGGATTGATGGCAGTATGGAGATTATGCACGTCTTTTTCTTTTTTTCCTATGCTGAAAATTCTGGTTGCTATGGCAACAAATAGACTGAAAATATGGCAGATTTTACACATAACCTGGATCCAGTGATAACGCAAAAAGTATTGAAAATATTTTTATGAAACTTGACATATGGGTAGATGGCAGTATGGAAATTATGCACATCCTTTTCTTATCTTCCTGTGTTGAAAATTCTGGTTGCTATGGCAACAAATAGACTGAATTTCAAGATTTCTGATTCTAGTTTTTAAGTTTTTTCACTATAAGTTCTTTATTTCTTAAGGTATTTTCTTCAAACTTTAAAAATAAGTTGCTAGTCATCAACCACATCATATGTGACAAAGTTTACAACTCTAGCACAAAATTTATCAGAATTACCTCCCTTGAACTTAAAATTTTCATGAAAAAAAACATTGTTTTTTTTAATAACTTCTTTTTTTCTGAACGTATCTACTTCAAACTTCATATAAATGTTTCTTATTATCACTCAACATTTGTGAGTGTTCAATACTCTAGCAAGACTATTTCCAGCATTATGCCCCTTTTGAACTTAGACTTTTTTTTGAGAAATTGGTAATTTTTACTCCAACTTCTTCAATCATGATAGAATTTTCTTCAAACTCCCACATCATTATAATATGACAAGGTTTATAAATTTAGCATCCATATTTCCAGAATTATCTCCTCCTTAAACTTTTAATTTTTCCTATTTGTTCTTTTAACTTTCATTTACTTCAATTTCAAAATAAATATTCAATATTCATACCTTCATTACTAATTGTTCTTTGTTACACTCACATCATGTATGACATCGTTATCTCCTTTTTTTTAAATTTTGCTTTTAAAATGTTATATTTTGATAACAGGGATATTTAAAAAATAACTTTAGACTGTCCTTCAGTCCGTCTGTCTGTCTGTTCACTGTGATCACTTTTAAAGAACTTTTTCAACAAATTTACTTAAAATAGAAACATAAGTGAATGGCCAATGGCCCTTCAGAATGTTGCTTGGGCTCTTACCGGTAGGGGACTTATGGATTGCTTGCAATACTATGATAATTGCTTGTTGATAATGATTCATGGTGTATTTTTGTTTTACAGATGTTTATAAATGAAAAGATGTTTTTTCTATTTATTTTGTACATGCATTTTGTTAATGATGCTTTTTATTTTCACTTGCCCTGTTGGACAAGTGCTTTTCAAAATAACTTGCCCTGACCAAACTTTTAGTTGTCCCGGGCAGTCGGACATTCGTTAATGTCGAGCCCTATAAGGAAGAAATTATTGACGCGGGGCGAGATAATGGGTCGAGCAATTAGCGATCAAATGTGTCAGCCTTGTTTTGTCAGCGCTCCGGGCTAAATTGTCCTTAAGGTGACGAAATGTCATAACAAAACAATTTCATTGAGTGATTAGCACAAAGGAAGCGGCTAATTTCTTGCGGTGTTATTCGGTGTTCGTGAGAAATGCACTGCGTGACTTTTGAAAACGAATTTAAAATGTACATATTAATGAAAATACACACGCGGGTAGACGTAGGTTGTGTTTTCATGTTTTGTTTAAATTCTATGATAGCTAGATATATTTATATACATGTATATTTAAATAAAACAAAAACTTCTGATTGCAAAGAGTTACCTCCCATTATATACTCTTCAAAAAGGATGCACGCGAAAGCAAAAGTAGAAATAAATGATGTTCGACGGTGTCGGATTTCTCAATTTGTTCTGTCCCGGTTATAACGAGACCCGGTTATAACGAGGAATCGTCAGAAGTCCCGACGATCTCGTTGTTTCAGGAGTGCACTGTATGTGTATAGCAAAAACTTAAAAAATCTTCTTTGAAAAAACCCAAATAGCTAGCGTTCAGATATTAAGCATGAAACATCTTCTAGTGAGTGTCTACAAAGTTTGTTCAAATAAAAGCCCTGGGGTCAAAATTGGCCCCGCCCTGAGGGTCATTGGTTTTCCTTATATGTGTATGGCAAAAACTTAAAAATCTTCTTTGAAAAAAACCAAATAGCTAGATTTTAGATATTTAGCATGAAACATCTTCTAGTAAGTGTCTACAAAGTTTGTTCAAATATGCCCTGGGGCTTAAACTGGCCCGGCCCCAGAGGTGTCATTGTTTTTAACTATATGTGTATAGTAAAAACTTTAAAAAATCTTCTTTTAAAAAACCCAATGAGCTAGAGGTTAGATTGCAGGAAACATCTTTTTGTGGGTGTCTACCAAGTTTGTTAAAATAAAAGCCCTTGGGTTAAAATTGGCCCTGCCAAAGGGGGGGGGGGAGGTCATTGTTTTTCATTTTATGTGTGTAGTAAAAACTTAACATCGTGAAACATCTTCTAATGAGGGTCTTCCAAGTTTGTTCAAATAAAAGCCCTGGGGTTTAAACTAGCCCCGCTCCGGGGGCCTAAATACAGGTGAGCGACCTCAGGGCCATCATGGCCCTCTTGTTTTTTTAGTTATTGCCCTTTGTTATTTTTCATATTTCATTTTTGTCCTGGCCATTCCTAAACTACATTGTTCACAAGGCGACACATCCGACTCGCGGAGTTCTAGTTTACATAATTATGCCCCTTTTTCGACTTAAAAATTCTTGGTTAAGTTTTTGCTTGTAAGCTGGTATCTCCATAACTACTGAAGGGAATGGATTAAAACTTCACACACTTGTTCTCTGTGATTATCTAAGATGATTGGCACAAGTCCCATAACTCTGATTTGCTTTTTTACATAATTATGCCCCTTTTTTGACTTAGAAATTCTTGGTTAAGTTTTTGCGTGTAAGCTGGTATCTCCATAACTACTGAAGGGAATGGATTGAAACTTCACACACTTGTTCTCTGTGATTATCTAAGATGATTGGCACAAGTCCCATAACTCTGATTTGCTTTTTTGCATAATTATGCCCCTTTTCGGACAATTTTATGTATTCATTTAGGTAAGCATTATTATACTCAATGAAACACCTTTGTGACAACTTTTCGAACAGTCGAGCGTTACTGTCCTCCGACAGTTCTTGTTATTTTTATCGTCTTTTGGGTAGCTGTGCAAAAGATTTTGTAACCTGTATTTATACACCTTTTCAACATTTGATGTGATATTAATCAAAATCTGTTATATTGCACAGACTTGGGGTTATTTTCCACAAAGAGTCTTGTAGAAGCCAACGAGGAACATGGGGTTGAAGTACGTACACAGAAGATGCAAGCACCGGATGAGAACAGGGACCAGTTTGGCAATAAAGTCTGGCACTGTGACAGCACTAGGAACCACACGTCTATAGCCAAATATGCCCAGTACCAGGCAGCCAGTTTTCAGGAATCATTAAGGGTAGGTGCTATTGTTTTTATTATACAGTGAAACTAGATTATAGCGAACTTGTTAGGACCTTGACATTTTGTGTGCAATATGCAAGGTTTTCGTATAACCTGTATAAGAAATAAGTATTTTATAAACAACCAATTTCTAGCATATATATATATTGAACAGCTTATTACATGCACCACAGTCTGAAAATAATTATCGTTATTTCTTAAAACATTATGATAATTATAAAGTCAAGAATGAAATTAATGTTTAATAGATTTGAATCAACTTGTTACCTTCGGCCTCTGTTGTTGAGTGATTATGGTCCTTGACTTCAAATTTCTTCAATCTCATGGTTGTGGGTTTAAATCCTATTAGGGACATATTCTTTTATGTCAGGAAGCTACCAAGCTAAATTTAAAGGGGTTTATAATACTACTAAAACACTGTATTTTGATTGAATTCACTTAGCCCAGTTTGGTCTTCCTCCACAAAGTCTGAAAGATCTCACTATTTTAATGTTTGTACTTGTATATCCAGGAAGAACAAGAAAAGGCTAAAGGAATATTTAAAGAATCTGACAGTGATTCCAACTCATCTATATCTTCTAAACTGTAAGTTAATTCTGCTTGTTTATTTTCTATTGGCTTATTTTCATTTTTCTCTTGACAAAATTTCTAAATATTCTTTATTTAAATGTGAAAGACTAGTAACTTTTTAGCTCACCTGAGCATGCTCAGGGTGAGCTTTTAGGATCGATGATTGTCCGTCGTCCGTTCACATTTAGTTGTTAACACTCTAGCGGTCGCATTTTTGCCTCAATCATCATCAAACTTGGTCAGGATGCTTATCTAGTTGATAGCTCGGATGAGTTCGAACATGGGTCATCTCGGATGAGAAACTAGGTCACAAGAGCTAAAAATAGAAAAACCTTGTTAACACTCTAGAGGTCACATTTTTGCCTCAATCATCATCAAACTTGGTCAGAATGTTTGTCTAGGTGATAGCTCGGATGAGTTTGAACATGGGTCATCTCAGATGAAAAAGTAGGTCACCGGAGCTAAAAATAGAAAAACCTTGTTAACACTCTAGCGGTCACATTTTTGCATCAATCATCATCAAACTTGGTCAGGATGCTTATCTAGTTGATAGCTAAGATGAGTTCGAACATGGGTCATCTCGGATGAAAAAGTAGGTCACCAGAGCTAAAAATAGAAAAACCTTGTTAACACTAGCGGTCGAACATGGGTCATCTCGGATAAAAAAGTAGGTCACCGGAGCTAAAAATAGAAAAACCTTGTTAACACTCTAGCGGTCACATTTTTGCATCAGTCATCATCAAACTTGGTCAAGATGCTTGTCTAGGTGATAGCTCGGATGAGTTCGAACATGGGTCATCTCGGATGAAAAAGTAGGTCACCTGAGCTAAAAATAGAAAAACCTTGTTAACACTCTAGCGGTCACATTTTTGCATCAATCATCATCAAACTTGGTCAAGATGATTGTCTAGGTGATAGCTCGGATGAGTTCGAACATGGGTCATCTCGGATGAAAAAGTAGGTCACCGGAGCTAAAAATAGAAAAACCTTGTTAACACTCTAGCGGTCACATTTTTGCATCAATCATCATCAAACTTGGTCAGGATGTTTGTCTAGGTGATAGCTCGGATGAGTTCGAACATGGGTCATCTCGGATGAAAAAGTAGGTCACCTGAGCTAAAAATAGAAAAACCTTGTTAACACTCTAGCGGTCACAATTTTGCATCAGTCATCATCAAACTTGGTCAAGATGCTTGTCTAGGTTAAAGCTCGGATGAGTTCGAACATGGGTCATTTCGGCTGAAAAACTAGGTCACAGGAGCTAAAAATAGAAAAACCATGTTAACACTCTAGAGGTCACATTTTTGCATCAATCATCATCAAACTTGGTCAGGATGCTTGTCTAGGTGATAGCTCGGATGAGTTTGAACATGGGTCATCTGGGATGAAAAAGTAGGTCACCGGAGCTAAAAATAGAAAAACCTTGTTAACACTCTAGCGGTCACATTTTTGCATCAATCCTCATCAAACTTGATCAAGATGCTTGTCTAGGTGATAGCTCGGATGAGTTAGAACATGGGTCATCTCGGATGAAAAACTAGGTCACAGGAGCTAAAAATAGAGAAACCTTGTTAACACTCTAGTGGTCACAATTTTGACTCAATTGTCATCAAACTTGGTCAGGATGCTTGTCTAGGTCATTGCTGGGAATAAATCGAACATGGGTCATCTCGGATGAAAAAGTAGGTCACCTGAGCTAAAAATAGAAAAATCTTGTTAACACTCTAGTGGCTACTGTTGTGATCCAAATATTCTGTTAATTGGTCTGAAAGTTTGTTTTGATGATTTCTAAGTCAAGATCGAACATGGGTCATCTTGGATGAAAAACTAGGTCACACCGCCCAAATATGGAAAAACCTTGTTAACATTCTAGTGGTCACATTTTCGACTCAATTATCATCAAACTTGGTCAGGATGCTTGTCTAGGTAATTGCTTGGATGAGTTCGAAATCACATGTGAAACTAGGTCACCGGAGCTAAAAATAGAAAAATCTTGTTAACACTCTAGTTGCTACTGTTTTGATCCAAGTATCCTGGAAATTGGTCTGAAAGTTTGTTTTGATGATTTCTAGGTCAAGTTTGAATATGTGTCACCTGGGTAAAAAACTAGGTCGCACTGCTCAAATATGGGTAATCCTTGTTGACACTGTTGTGGTCACATTTTTGACTCACCTGTCATGAGACTTGGTCAGAATGCCTGTCTAGGTAATTGTTTGGATGAGTTTGATAAGTCAGGTGAGCGATCTAGGGCCATCATGGCCCTCTTGTTTAATAACTTTCACCTGCTAGAACAGAAAATGTTTAACCTTTGCCACCAGTATAGAGCCAGGCCAGCCTGTTTATTTGTGCAGTCTGACTAGGCTCTATAATGTTTGCTAACGAACATCAAACTTACATCTTGACATCTCCAGAATTGATAATGGACTGTTCCAAAAATGGGAATCGGACCAATCCAAGTGATAAATTCAGGGGATTAATGATTATTACATGTTCTTATTTATTGCAGTCGAAAGAACCCAAAAATGATAAAGTTCGGAACGAACGTGGATCTGTCCGATCATAAGAAATGGGAAGTACAACTGAAAGAGTTGGCAAAGTTACCGGCGTTTTGCCGTCTTGTGTCAGGAAGTAATTTACTCAGTCAAATCGGGCACACAATCTTTGGTATGAAACCGTACAGCTTTACATGAAGGTCCCAGGATCCAGAACTCCAGGTGATCATTCTATTCTTTTTGTGTTACTTTTGAAAGGTTTTAACTGTTAATTGTTTGTCTAAATGTGGACGCAACTTTAAACATTTTGTCTAAAAGTGGACAGCAACTTTTAACTTTTTGTCTATATTTTAACACAAGTGTTTACTTTTTGTCAAGATATTAACATTTTGTCTGGTCAGAAATTTGACTCATCTTTAAACATTTTGCCTGAATGTTAACACGACAGTTAACTTTTTGTCTAAATGTAAACTTTTTGTCTGAATGTTGACTTTTTGTCTGAATGTTGCCACAGAAGTTAACTTTTTGTCTAAATGTTGACACAATAGTTAACTTTTTAGCTCACCTGTCACAAAGTGACAGGGTGAGCTTTTGTGATCACTTTTCGTCCGTCCTTCCGGCGTCCGTCTGTCCGTCGTCCGTAAACTTTCACTTTAAATGACATCTCCTCATAAACCACTAGGCCAATTTCATCCAAACTTCACAGGAATGTTCCTTTGGTGGTCACCTTTGAAAATTGTTCAAAGAATTTAATTCCATGCAGAACTCTGGTTGCCATGGCAACCAAAAGAAAAACTTTAAATATCTTCTTTTAAAAAAACCCAAAGAGCTAGAGCTTAGATATTCGGCATGAAACATCTTTTAATGAGTGTCTACCAAGTTTGTTCAAATAAAAGCCCTGGGGTCAAAATTGGCCCGCCCCAGGGGGTCATTGATTTTCCCTATATGCATTAAGTAAAAACTTAAAAAATCTTCTTTTAAAGACCCCAAAGAGCTTGAGCTAAGATATTTAGCGTGAAACATATAGTAATGGGTGAGTACTAATTTTGTTCAAATAAAAGCCCTGGGATCAAAATTGGCCACGCCCCAGGGGGTCATTGATTTTCCCTATATGCATAAAGTAAAAACTTAACAATCTTCTTTTAAAGAACCCAAAGAGCTTGAGTGAAGATATTTAGCATGAAACATGTTTTAATGGGTGTCTACCAAGTTTGTTCAAATAAGAGCCCTGGGGTCATTGATTTTCCTTATATGTGTATAGCAAAAACTTAAAAAATCTTCTTTGAAAAAAAACAAATAGCTAGAGTTTAGATACTAAGCATGAAACATCTTCTAGTGAGTGTCTACAAAGTTTGTTCAAATAAAAGCCTTGGGGTTAACAAACATTATACATACACATATCTACGCATAACCATATTCCTCCACATATATATACACTTCCATATGTATACACATATATATATATCGGTACACATAGACACATATGTATACCCCCATATATACATACAATTACATAAGTACATATTCACAATGAGGATCACATATATATATATAAATTCTAGACAGAGTAGACAAGTTTCCTACATACAGTAAAGTAATAGTCTAAGTAAATCTGAAATGGTTCAAGGGAGGAAACTTTGTTATGAAATGAAGAATATTATATTCTTTTTATGTCCCTTGAACTTTGATTGTTATCACATAAAAATTGTAAACTTTTGACTGTAATTGAAGGATCAATTATAATTAAAGTATTATTATAAAAAATAAGTTACCAATTATAGTTTCAATATATTTTCTTAGGTATGTCATCAGCCATCAGAGCTTATGGCTAATGTAAATCATTTCTCATTTCTATATATATCAAATGCAAAAATAATATAAGGTACAATCCAATAATTGATCATTTTAATTATATATATAATAATATATATATTATGGATCAGAACAGTTTATGCATTGGAAAGTTTCTCAAAAAAAATCACTTAAGCTAATGCATTTGATCTTTATGAATCTTTCACAAGTAATCTTATTTATTATCACAAAGATTGTCTATATAAAATAATTACTAGTCTTTGATTATCAAATTCTAGCGAGGTGATTTTTATGCCACCGCAGCATCTACGATGCGGTGGCATATAGCGATTCACCTGTGTGTATGTATGTTTGTGTGTTATATAGATTATATAGTGAACTTAAAAAATCTCTTGTGAAAAACCACTAGTCCAATTTCAACCAAACTTGGCAGGATTGATCCTTGGGTGAAGGGCTTCCAAAGTTGTTCAAAGAATTTCATTCCAATTTCCATGCAGAAATCTGGTTGCCATGGCAACCAAAAGGAATTATAAGAATAAATTTAAAAAATCTTCTTGTAAAGACCCAAAAGGCCTAGAGCTTAGATATTTTGCATAAGGCATTGTCTGGTAGACCTCTACCAAGATTGTTCAAATTATAGCCCTGGGGTCAAAATCGGCCCCGCCCCGGGGGTCATTGATTTTCACTATATGTGCATATAGTAAAAACTTAAAATACCTTCTTGTAATGACCCAAAACGCCTAGAACTTAGATATTTTGCACAAGGCATTGTCTGGTAGACCTCTATCCAGATTGTTCAAATTACAGCCCTGGGGTCAAAATCGGCCCCACCCCTGGGGTCATTGGTTGTCCTTATATGTATATAGTAAAAACTTATAGTAAAAACATTAAAAAAAATCTAGCAATTGACAAATGCTAGAGGTTAGATATTTTGCATCAAACATTGTGTAGTGAACCTCTAGCAAGATTGTTCAAATTATAGCCCTGGGGTCAAAATTGTCCCCGTCCCGGGGTCATTGATTTTCAACATATACATATAGTAAAAAATAAAAAAATCTATATTTGTTAAATGATATCATCTATAGGTACTCTACAAAAGTTATTCAAATTTTGCCTCTAGTGTCAAAATTAGCCCCGCCCCGGGGGCCATAGGTTTTCCTTATATGTATATAGTAAAAACTTAAAAAATCATCTTCTCTAAATTTACAAAGGCTAGAGTTAAGATATTTTGCATGAAACATTGTGAAGTGAACCTCTACCAAGATTGTTCAAATTATAGCCCTGGGGTCAAAATTGGTTCCGCCCCGGGGGTCATTGATTTTCATTATGTACATATAGTAAAAAAAAAAATATTTTTGTCTGAAGGTACAAGGCATAGAGCTTTGATGTTTGCTATATAATATCATCTATAGGTCCTCTACCAAAGTTGTTCAAATATTTCCCCTGGTGTCAAAATTGGCCCTGCCCAGGGGCAGTGATTCTCATTATGTACACATAGTAAAAACAGAAAATAAAACAAATGTTTTCTGAATGGGAGACAGCTACAGCTTAGATATTTGACTTGAAATGTTGTTTGGTTGACCTGTATCAAGATTGTTTTGAATTAAACCCTTGGGTCAAAATTTTGCCTTGCCCAATGGGGACAGTGACCTACTTTCTTGTCCTTTGACGTACAGCAATGAAATTTTGACCATGTGCCCAGTGTTAGTTGTAAAATTAAACTTTGATATCAGGTGACCTAGATTTTGATTATTTGACCTACTTGTCCTTTGATGTATAGCTATGAAATTTGAACCATGTGCACAGATTAATCTTTGATATCAGCTGACCTAGATTTTGACAAAGTGTCTTACTGTGTTGTATTTTGATGTAGTCATGAAATTTAGGCTGTGTGAAATATGACCTTCACCACCAAATTCACTAGACTCAAGTGCATTGATATATTCCTACTCTGATCTTTTATTGGATTAACAATAGATTTAACCACTAATCTGATAATAAGAATTAGATTAGGTCAGGGATCTATGCATTATGACAATCTTAAATTGTAAAGAAACAAAAAAAATCTATTCCTACACTACTATTTAGTGTTGTATTAATGTGATGGCATAGCATTTTTCTCAAGTGCAATCTTGTTTCATTTAGCTCTCTTGTTTTTTCATTTACTTCAGCTTTTACCATGCTTTCTATATTCTTTTGCAGTTCACTGATTGCACTTGTAATTGATTTTGACACTATAAGTTCTATATCTTCCTTCTTTATCATGTGTTGTTAATCACCTTTCAATCCTTCTAGATTTTTTGTCATAATATCTAATTGATTTTGTATCAAAGTCATGTTCATACTTTTGTTGCTTAGGGTACTGTCATTGCTTACCTCTGATATAGGTCTTTTGGCTGGAGGTTGTTTTGTCCCCTTTGACACTGTTTTTGACTTACTATTGTTTACATTGTCCCTACTATCTTGACCTGATCCCTGACCTTTACCTGACATTGTGTATGTTTTGCTATTGTCCTGTTATTTGATTTATTTATCACCTAGTTTAATCCCCCCCACACACACAGGTTAAATCCCTATACATGTATATAATCCAAAAACTTAGTTTTTACACAAAGAAAAAAAGTTTTTCTTCAAATATCTCCAAAACTTTTTATCATATTTTTACTATATTCCAGTATCATACACATTTATTAATACACATCTATTTGATATAAATTTTATCACTATTAGATCACTAGAAAACACATATTTTTGCTAAAAATGAAGAGCAAATTTATTTCATCTTACTACTGAAAAATGCCTGTCAGTTATGTCTCTTAAATTAATTTTTGATTTTAAAGTTTATACGGAATAATTTTTTTTATACTACTATAATTTGAATTAAATGTTACAGGATTGATATGTACCTCAAGTACCTGTGCACATATAAAATAATTTTTGGTTGAATGATTTCGGGCCAAGTTATGGCACTTGTTTTTTTTGTGTTTTTTTTTTAGCTCACCTGTCACAAAGTGACAGGGTGAGCTTTTGTGATCGCTTTTCGTCCGGCGTCCGTCCGTCCGTCGTCCGTCCGTAAACTTTTGCTTTAAATGACATCTCCTCATAAACCACTGAGCCAATTTCATCCAAACTTCACAGGAATGTTCCTTTGGTGGTCACCTTTAAAAATTGTTCAAAGAATTTAATTCCATGCAGAACTCTGGTTGCCATGGCAACCGTAAGAAAAATCTTTAAATATCTTCTTTTAAACAACCCTAAGAGCTAGAGCTTAGATATTTGGCATGAAACATCTTCTAATGAGTGTCTACCAAGTTTGTTCAAATAAAAGCCCTGGGGTCAAAATTGGCCCCGCCCCGGGGGGTCATTGATTTTCCCTATATGCATATAGTAAAAACTTAAAAAATCTTCTTTTAAAGAACTGTAAGAGCTAGAGCTAAGATATTTGGCATGAAACATCTTCTAGTGAGTGTCTACCAAGTTTGTTCAAATAAAAGCCCTGGGGTCAAAATTGGCCCCGCCCCGGGGGGTCATTGATTTTCCCTATATGCATATAGTAAAAACTTAAAAAATCTTCTTTTAAAGAACTGTAAGAGCTAGAGCTAAGATATTTGGCATGGAACATCTTCTAGTGAGTGTCTACCAAGTTTGTTCAAATAAAAGCCCTGGGGTCAAAACTGGCCCCGCCCCGGGGGTCATTGATTTTCCTTATATACATAGCAAAAACTTAAAAATCTTCTTTGAAAAAACCCAAATAACTAGAGTTTAGATATTAAGCATGAAACATCTTTAAGTAAATATCTACAAAGTTTGTTCAAATAAAAGCCCAGGGGTCAAAACTGGCCCTGCCCGAGGGGTGTCATTGTTTTTAACTATATGTGTATAGTAAAAACTTAAAAAATCTTCTTTTAAAAAACCCAATGAGCTAGAACTTAGATGTTTTGCATGAAACATCTTCTTATGGATGTCTACCAAGTCTGTTCAAATAAACAAATAAAAGCCCTTGGGTAAAAATTGGGCCGGGGGGCGGGGGACTGGGGCTATATACAGGTGAGCGACCTCAGGGCCATCATGGCCCTCTTGTTTAAGTTTGTCTGGCCTTCTTCTCTTATACTATTTAAATGAAATGTTTCAGTTTTGATAAGTACTTCAAGTACTTGCTCATAATTGATTAGTTCTGGATTGAATGATTTTCTGTTGAATGAATTATAGCCCCTTAATAAAATATATTTTTAGAAAGTGTGCATTGTTCAGCATCATCAGTTTGGTAATTCACCCTTTCTCCACCTTCAAACATCTTAACAATCAGTTTTCATTCGTAACAATATCTCCAATCACCCTTAATTGGCTATCATCAGGTGACACATGTGATCACTGATTGCTCTTGTTGTATATATATTTTTGTACATTTCAACTTGCAGGTCCATTGACCTGTGGTGTAAACTGGTTGTGCAGCTTTGCTTTTCTACTTGATGTTGTTAAAAGTTGAAATACATGATATTCTTATATTGTACATCTTGAAACAGAAACAATAAGTCTTTATTATGCTGGTCGTCAATCATTTTCAGCAGACATACCAAGCAGCATTCTTCAGATAGTGTCACTACCTACTGCCTTCTGTAAGAGATTCATCCGAGTAGTCCGGTCATGATAGCAGTCCGGAGTGATGACCAGGCAGACCAAACTACATCTCAAGGTAACCACAGAAATTTGTAGATTTTAGAGAATTATGCATGTTGGCATATAAAGACTTGGCAGAATGTACAAACATTGGTTTTCGAAGAGATAGTTATAATATTTTTTTAGCTCACCTAAGCTTGCCCAGGGTGAGCTTTTAGGATAGTTGAATGTATGTCGTCCGTCCACATTTGTTCGTTAACACTCATGCGGTCACAGTTTTGCCTCAATCATCATGAAACTTTGTCAGGATGCCTCGGTTATTGCTTGGATAGGTTTAAACATGGGTCATCTCGGATGAAAAACTAGGTCACAGGAGCTAAATAAAAAAATCTTTTTCACACTCTAGTGGCTACTGTTTTGATCCAAATATTCTGGAAATTGGTCTGAAAGTTTGTTTTGCTGATTTCTAGGTCAAATTCGAATATGGGTCAACTGGGGTCAAAAACTAGGTCACACCACCCAAATATGGAAAAACCTTGTTAACACTTTAGTGGTCACATTTTTCACTCAATAATCATAAAACATGGTCAGGATGCTTGTCTAGGTAAATGCTCCGATAAGGGCGAACATGGTTTTATCTCAGATGAAAAAATAGGTCACAGGAGCTAAAAATCTTGTTAACACTCTAGTGGCTACTGTTTTGATCCAAATATCCTAGAAATTGGTCTGAAAATTTGTTTTGATGACTTCTAGGTCAAGTTCGAATACGGGTTACCTTGGGTCAAAAACTAGGTCACACTGCCCGAATATGGAAAAACCTTAACACTCTAGTGGTCACATATTTGACTCAACTGTCTTGAAACTTGGTCAGGATGCTTGTCTAGGTAAAAATTGCTGGGAAAAAGAAATTCAGTCGCAACTACTCGGCCCTTTCCGTCAGTCTTCTTGATTTGGTTTTTTACTGATTAGGGGAAGTGACCGCTGCGGGGATTTTGGTTCTCGGCATTAATGACAGCGCAAAACAGAGACATGGTGTATACAAGTGCGGATCAAGAAGGGGAGCCACGCACATAACCCCAAGTGTCTGTGAATGTTTGTGCATTCTTGCCAAGTCTTTATATGCCTATACTAGTATTTATTATATACCTATAAATTTTCTCCCTAAAATACACGCAAATATTGAAGCGCAAATACACTTCAACGGATAGAAATTTCCGTATTATGTTAGTGACAAATACGGTACCATATATGGAAGTGCCGGACTATTTTTGACGTTGGTTCCGATCTTAGCTTTGTATAACGTTGCATTTGAAAACGGGAACAAAATTATTCAAGGCGTGGCCAGTTTGCAAGAATTATGTATTCACCCGTCAGTCATGAATTTATTTCTTGACAACTACATTTCATTTTCTGAATAAAACGAAACGGTATAAAATAAAAGGAAAATTATGTTATAGTAGCTTTCTGAGACTATCGCAACGTTGGAAAATTGATATCTCGCTCGACCTTCGGTCTCGCGAGATATCAATTTTCCACTGCTGCTCATAGAAAAATTCAAAGCCTCAGAAAGCTACTACAACATAATATTCCGTATATACTTTGTTTAACCAATTACACAATATACACGCCTTTTAATAGATAGAAAAATAGATAAGTTTTTATGCTCCCCGAAAAATTTCGGGGGAGCATATAGTTGGCGCCTTGTCCGTCTGTCCGTTCGTCCGTTGTCTTGTCCGGAGTATAACTTGAAAACCCTTGGAGATCATTTGTTTAAACTTCATACAGTGGTAGAGGGCATTGAGGGGGAGTGCAGTGTCAAAGAACCATAACTCTATTTTGCCCGGTTTTTGAATTATCTCCCCTGATAGAAAAATCTTGTCCGGGACATAACTCTAAAACTATAAGAGATATCAACATGAAACTTTGTAGGTGAATAGATCTCAATGGGTAGATGTGCAGTGTATAAGAACAATAACTCTTTTTGTCCACAACAACAACAACAATGCATATTGCGTGTTTCTATTTAAAGAATTGCGTGTTACTATTTATAGAATTGCATGTTACTATTTATAGAATTGCGTGTTTCTATTTTTAGAATTGCGTGTTCTATTTTTAGAATTGCGTGTTTCTATTTTTAGAATTGCGTGTTCTATTTTTGTGTCGCCTCTACGGAGTAGTGGCGACATATAGGGATCACTTCTCCGTCGTCTGTCTGTCTGTCTGTCTGTCGTCTGTCTGTCTGTCTGTCTGTCCATCCGTCCGTCACAAAACTTGTCCGGACTACTCCTCATAAACTACTGGTGCAATTTCATCCAAACTTTACAGGAATGATCAGTACCAAGTCTAGTTGTGCATATTGTCAGGATTTTCCGGTTCAATGATTTTTGTCAGAGTTATGGCCCTTTAATAATTTTTAATTTTAAAGTTTGTCCGGACTACTTCTCTTATACCACTAATGCAATTTCAATGAAACTTTACAGGATTGATCTGTAGCTCAAGTCCTTGCGCATATTGCACGGGTTTTCCGGTTGAATGATTTTTGGCCGAGTTATGGCCCTTTGATAAAAAGGTTTCTTTTTCTGTGTGTTGCCAGATACACAAAAGCTTGTCCGGACTACTCCTCATAAACTACTGGTGCAATTTCATCCAAACTTTACAGGAATGATCAGTACCAAGTCTAGTTGTGCATATTGTCAGCATTTTCCGGTTCAATGATTTTTGTTTGAGTTATGGCCCTTTAATAAATTTTCATTTTAAAGTTTGTCCAGACTACTTCTCTTATACCACTTATGCAATTTCAATGAAACTTTACAGGATTGATATGTAGCTCAAGTCCTTGCACATATTGCACGGGTTTTCCGGTTGAATGATTTTTGGCCTAGTTATGGCCCTTTGATAAAAAGGTGTTTTTTTCTGTGTGTTGCCAGATACGCAAAAGCTTGTCCGGACTACTCCTCATAAACTACTGGTGCAATTTTATCCAAATTTTACAGGAATGATCAGTACAAAGTGGTTAGTCTAGTTGTGCACTGTCCGTCTGTCTGTCCGTCTGTCACAAAATTTGTCCCAACATGAAATTGGCCATCATGAGGCGACACATGTGATTACTGATCGCTCTTGTTAGAATTGCGTGTTTCTATTTTTAGAATTGCGTGTTACTATATATAGAATTGCGTGTTACTATATATAGAATTAGGTGTTTCTATTATTGGAAATTGCGTGTTACTATTTATAGAATTGCGTGTTATTATTTTTAGAATTGCGTGTTTCTATTTATAGAATTGCTTGTTTCTATTTATAGAATTGTGTGTTTCTATTTTTAGAATTGTGTGTTTCTATTTTTAGAAATTGCGTGTTACTATTTATAGAAATTGCGTGTTTCTATTTTTAGAATTGCGTGTTTCTATTTTTAGAATTGAGTGTTACTTTTTTAGCTCACCTGTCACAAAGCGACAAGGTGAGCTTTTGTGATCGCTTTTCGTCCGGCGTCCGTCCGTCGTCCGTCTGGCGTCCGGCGTCCGTCCATAAACTTTTGCTTTAAATGACATCTCCTCATAAACCACTGAGCCAATTTCATCCAAACTTCACAGGAATGTTCCTTTGGTGGTCACCTTTAAAAATTGTTCAAAGAATTTAATTCCATGCAGAACTCTGGTTGCCATGGCAACCGAAAGAAAAATATTTAAATATCTTCTTTTAAACAACCCTAAGAGCTAGAGCTTAGATATTTGGCATGAAACATTTTCTAATGAGTGTCTACCAAGTTTGTTCAAATAAAAGCCCTGGGGTCAAAATTGGCCCCGCCCCAGGGGGTCATTGATTTTCCCTATATGCATATAGTAAAAACTTAAAAAATCTTCTTTTAAAGAACCCAAAGAGCTAGAGCTAAGATATTTAGCATGAAACATCTTCTAATGAGTGTCTACCAAGTTTGTTCAAATAAAAGCCCTGAGGTCAAAATTGGCCCTGCCCCAGGGGGTCATAGATTTTCCCTATATGCATATAGTAAAAACTTAAAAAATCTTCTTTTAAAGAATCCAAAGAGCTAGAGCTAAGATATTTGACATGAAACATCTTCTAGTGAGTGTCTACCAAGTTTGTTCAAATAAAAGCCCTGGGGTCAAAATTGGCCCCGCCCCGGGGGGTCATTGATTTTCCCTATATGCATATAGTAAAAACTTAAAAATCTTCTTTTAAAGAACCGTAAGAGCTAGAGCTTAGATATTTAGCATGAAACATCTTCTAATGAATGTCTACCAAGTTTGTTCAAATAAAAGCCCTGGGGTCAAAATTGGCCCCGCCCCAGGGGGTCATTGATTTTCCCTATATGCATATAGTAAAAACTTAAAAAATCTTCTTTTAAAGAACCCAAAGAGCTAGAGCTAAGATATTTAGCATGAAACATCTTCTAATGAGTGTCTACCAAGTTTGTTCAAATAAAAGCCCTGGGGTCAAAATTGGCCCCGCCCCAGGGGGTCATTGATTTTCCCTATATTCATATAGTAAAAACTTAAAAAATCTTCTTTTAAAGAACTCAAAGAGCTAGAGCTAAGATATTTAGCATGAAACATGTTCTAATGGGTGTCTACCAAGTATGTTCAAATAAAAGCCCTGGGGTCAAAACTGGCCCCGCCCCGGGGGTCATTGATTTTCCTTATATGTGTATATCAAAAACTTAAAAATCTTCTTTGAAAAAACCCAAATAGCTAGAGTTTAGATATTAAGCATGAAACACTTTAAGTAAATATCTACAAAGTTTGTTCAAATAAAAGCCCGGGGGTCAAAACTGACCCTGCCCCAGGGGTGTCATTGTTTTTAACTATATGTGTATAGTAAAAACTTAAAAAATCTTCTTTTAAAAAACCCCAATGAGCTAGAACTTAGATGTTTAGCATGAAACATCTTATGGGTGTCTGGTGTCTGTATGGAAGTCTGTTCAAATAAAAGCCCTTGGGTAAAATTGGCTATATACAGGTGAGCGACCTCAGGGCCATGATGGCCCTCTTGTTTAGAATTGCGTGTTACTATTTATAAAAATTGCTTGTTTCTATTTTTAGAATTGTGTGTTACTATTTT